GCGAGGCGCCACTCTGAGCGGCGGAAGCCGTCTTGGGTGTCTAGAAGCGTCACCTCAAACGGCGGCGCCTCGACTGTTCGCGTGGAGGGCGTGATCGTGGGGTGGAGCTGGAAAACCACCCGCTTGATGAAGAGCCCTGCGGCGGCAGAAGTGGTGTGGCGGTGGCGGTGGGCGGGCGGGCCGGGTCGCGGGCGCACCTGGGTCCTCGTCTGGTGAGGCGGCGCGGACCTGCGCGGGAGATGCCGCGGTCGTCGGCCTCGAGGGGTGCAGCGCTGCGCTTGCGTGTGGAGGCGGGTGACGGGCGAGGTGGCGGGCGGCGGGGCGCACATAGACTGTCCACTCATGCGACTTTGACTCCTCGGCCTCCTTGCCGCGCCAGTAGGCGCACGAGCCGACCACAATCGGCCGCGACGCCTGCTGCACCGGCACCTCGGCGGAGGCGGAGCCCGCGGGAGGAGGAGGCACAGGGAGAGGAGCCGGCGGCGCGGCGGTCGCGGCTGCCGCAGCACTCAGACTCGCCGTCGACATATGTGTGTGTCGCGAAAAAAGAATTTGCGCCGTACCACAACACTCGTGCCGCCGCCCCTGCCACCCCTGTGTCAGTGTGCCTGTGGTAGGAGAGACTGCCAGCGACAAGCTGGAGGCAGGTCGCTAGACTGAGATGAGACCGCCAGTGGATGTGGGAGTCCACCGCGCACCGCGCTGCGAGCCTGTCGTGTCCCTTGTCAGGAGCAGGAGAGCCCCACCTGTCCCCCTGATCGTCCTTCCAAAATCCTGCTCGTGCAGGTGGGGACCCTGTCCTCGTCCCATCCCTCGTTTGGCGTGTATGTTTTCTTTCTTTCTTTCTTTCTCGCACAACACTAGGCACGGGACTAGGGCGGTGGCGACCGGTGTCGACACGTCCCCGTCGTCCGTGCCGTCGCCCGTTGGGGGCGCTGCCGCGGGCGAGGGCGCGTGCGGCGTGCCCACTGCCGCCGCTCCCGGCACCGGGGCGAGTGTGGCACCCAGCGTGCCGGGCACGGGCGGGGGGGCGGCGCCGTCGCCAGCTGCAGCTTGGGCGTCGGCGGCCGGCGCGTGTCCTACGGGTGAGGCGGCGTCGGGGGCGGCGGAGATGGAGCTTGGAGGCGACAGAAAGGGGGACGGCGGGCGCGGCGGCGGCGGATGAGGGGGCGACGGGAGGGGGGGCGTCGGAGGTGGAGGCGACGGAGAGGGGGGCGACAGACGGATAAGGCGGCGGAAA